GAAAGACAGAAGGAACACCTCCATAGAAGGAGGTATTAGGGAAACCGAAAGGGCCACAGGTAGGAACCTGGGAACGATGGCGAGGACGACTTGCCTTTTTCTCAAGATTCTCATATTTCTCCTCAGTGTTCTGGAAGGGTTTCCTGTGTGGGAACAAGAGGAAGGGAAATATGTCAGAGGCTGGTCAGGAAAGAGTTAAGACAAGTGTGGAGGGCTGGTTCTCTCTGAGGGGACTCTGCATTCTCTGCTGATGAACTCTTTTCTTGAGAAGTTTTTGCTATAGGGCACATGCACTCGCCAGAAAGACAGAGAGAGACAGAGAGACAGAGAGTCAGAAAGCGAGAAATCACTCCCCAGGGAGGATGGCCACGTTGTAATCCCTTCTCCTCCATTCTCCTCTTGGGATCTTGGGTATGCACGCATACGTCCCTGGCATGAGTTTAAGCCATTGGGTCCAGGACTTGAACTGGAGTCCAGTGATATAGCGATTACATCATCTGCTGGTGCCCCTGCTGACAAACTCCTGGTGGAAGGGTTGGCTTTGGCTCTCCAGAAAGAGCTGCCTGGAAGCAGGACTATAGGCAGTTTCAGCTGTGGCCCAGCAGAGGGCCCCCTAAGCTAACTGAAGGTGGATTGTTCTAGAGAAGCTGCTTGTCTTGGAAAGGGACAGAGAGAAGAGATGGGAAGGTGGCCCCTGTTCGTGCTCTCTGCTGGCACTGCCCTGGCTAAAGCGGGGAGTGTGGGAAGAAACGAAGAAGTGGATTTTAGGTTTTCTGGACAGGTGCTAAGGCTTGGTCCTTGGAGGAGAAAGGGCGAGGAGGGGTGGGAGGAAGGGCAGCTGATGAAAGATGGGGCAGGGAGAGAGAGGAGGGAGGCAGGCCTGAGCAAAATTATGGAAATGGCAAAAAATGTCAGGAGAGGAGGGAGGGTGAAGAGGAAGAGCCTTGGGAGAGCGAGAGGCAGGGCCAGTGGAGAAGAGGGAGGCAGAGGCTGAGAAGTCCCTCTGAGAGACTGGTGCTGGGGCAGCTGGAGGCAGAGGCAGCCTTTGGCCCCTGGCGCATCACCAGGAGACTAGGACAGATTGGACAGAGAGCAAGAAAGAAGAGAAAATATGATGAGCTGGACGTGTCTGGGAAGGAGCTGTTCAAGGCCGAGGGAAGCCAGGATGAACAGAAGAAAAAGGTTGGATGCTGGGATGAAAGGAGGAAGGTGAAGGTACAGGGAAGGATGCAGGGGAGACACTGGGGAAGAGTCTCTGAAGGGCTGCTCTGAAGCCCTGTTCTCCTTTTAGGCGATGGCGCCGAGGAGCTCAAGACGGGTCTCTTTAGAGGTCAGAGAAGAGGATGCACAGATCTTAAGTCGGGATGGAGAGCAGCTGTGAAAGACACCTGCTTCCTTGTGACACTTTGTGTTTCCAACCATGCCCCCCAGGTCCCCACTCCAGTTCCCCTTTGGAGGAAGAGCACTCACCCGGCTGAGGTTTTGGCTTTAGGCTGCAGACCTGTGGGGGGACAGCTGCGTGTCAGTGTGACATCCATGTCTCCTTCCCTCCTTCACTGCTGTGTCCTGCCCTGAGCCCATCCTTAGAGGGACCAGAGCAGCAGGGCAGCTCTGCCCAAAGCAGTCAGCGAAGTCCTGGGACTCAGCCAGGCACTCAGTGGGCGCTGCAGGCTGGCCGGCACCTGTCCTCCCTATTGTCCTCAACAGCATGTCCTAAGACAAGCTCTTCTTGGTCCCACAGTCCATCATCCCTACCTCCCCTCCCTTGGCTTCCCTTCCCCATCTCTGACCTCCAGACTCTCCAACCTTGCTCCTCCCTGTACTGAAGTCCCAACTGCCACCTCTCTCCTTCTCCTCCTCTTCAGTACACACACCAGTCTCTCCTCGACCTACAAATTCAGCTTCTCGGGTTGTTGTTTTGAATGGTGGCAATCTTTTGTACACCTTGAGAGCCTCGTTGTGGGATGAGTGTTTTAGGGGTTGAGACATCTCTTGCCACCACTGGACCATTTTCCTTCCCCTCTCAGCTGGTCCTCTTATACGGTAACCACCATCCCGTCTACCCTCTGTCCTGTCCCCTGTACATCCACCTCGAAGTCTCTCTGCAGCATTTCCCAAGGATCTGGCCCCTGGTTCACAGTATCCTCTAGCATCCACCGTCCTCCTGGGTGATTCCTCATCCAAAGGACAATTGCCTGAACAGGACTCCACTCCCTTCTGCAATTCCAATGACCTCCAATCTACTCCATTCTGCCATACCGTAGACTCTCTTCTTTTTCTTTCTTTCATTTTTTTTTTTTTTTTAAGATTTTCACTCACCATGGAGAGACAGAGACAAAGTAAAATTGAGAAATCACCCCCTGGTTGGATGGTCACAATGCAATCCATACTTCAGGATTTGGGGCACCCATGCCCCCATGCCCAGCATATTTTTCAAGTTGCTAGGTCTGGGACTTGAGCCACAGAGTTGGGCATGTGGGATCCAGCACCTTAATTACCATGTCTGTCACCTGCAGACCCTTCTTTATTGTTGTTGTTAGGTTTTTGTGTTTGTTTTTCTTTTTTGCCATAGGGTATGTGCTCATCAGAAACAGAGAGAGGGAAATTGAGAAATCACCCTCCAGGCGGAATGGCCATTCTCTTCCATTCTTGTCTTGAGATTTTGGGCATTCACACACATCACCTGGGGTGATATTCAAGCCCTTGAGTCCAGGACTTAAGCCACTGTTGACCATGCAGGAATCCAATGTCTTAACCTCCAGAATACCCACTGGCCAGATAGGATACCTTTGTTCTGTGAGATGAGAAGTGAGAAAGAGGGGACTGGGCTGAAATAAAACAACAGAACACATGAAATGACTTTTATAATTTTAATTGAAGCATTGCTATTCATTTTTTTTAACTCTTTCTTATAAGCACCAAATTTTAACACCTAAGTCAATTTTGGGGAAAGAAACACCATCAAGAACTTCCCTCCAGAACAAAACAATGATGTTTATTCCTCCAAATATCCAAATTGAAGGCCTACCAAAATCAAAACAGAACAAGCCCACAGAGAAATAAAAAGTAACAAAAATCACATTCTAGGGGGTCAGTGCATTTAGCAGTCTTTGCTGTGCTGTCTAGTCGTCCTTCAGCTGACTTTCAAAAAAATTACACCCTAGCTCATCAAAATATACATTTTCCATTTGCATTTTTTAAATTAAAAATAATAATTAAAAAAGGAAAACTGTAAGGAATTCACAATCAATTGCCTGACTCATGTGGATGTGGTGTACAGCGTACGGAGGTCAGGAAGGGCAGCACACGTGATGGGGGAATTTCATCTTCAAGGCTTAGCTTTCTTCCAAACAGTGTAAAATACCCACAATTCCAAGTATGAAGGGACACAGACGATCTCCTTTGAGAATTCCACAGGACAATACAGGCGCCCGAGCTGTTCTTCATAGAGCAACAGGGCTTCCGTCAAGTTGACACAGTTCCCCTGTGTGAAATATTTCCCATCCTGTTTCAATACTTTCATTGAGAGGTCAAGAATCAGTCTGAGAAACTCCCATGTGGAATCTTCTGGAGAGGTGGAGATTGGTGCAGCCGTCAAATCATTAATCACATAATCAGACTCTCTCCCTTCTTTGGCATACCTCTTCAGTACTGGAATACAGTCTTCGATAAGAACCTGATAGCAGTCTCCCTTAAGATTGTCTAAGACGTCACCACGCGTTTTTCGCATGTATTCCTTACATCCATCAATCACCATTTGGTCAATCTCTACCATAGTGACCATCTTTGGTTTCAGTTTGACTATTTCACATAATATGCCGCCGTCTCCACCTCCCAGAATCAGTACATCCTTGCCAGTGTAATCTTCTTTGCCACTCCCATGATGGCCCGGGTATATGCCAAATCGCTCTCTGCCAAATTAACATCCCCACTCAGAATGAGAATATTTCCAAATTGCTTCGAGTGTAAAATTTTAATGTTCTGATAAGGTGAATCTTCATCATACACCACTTCATCTAGGTCATACTCGACCAGGCGCCCATCGTGGGTGGGCCAGTATCTGTCAATGGTCCCTCCTGGAACGATGGGTGGTAATCTTTTTACCCGCCCAGTATTGTCCTGATTCAATTCTTTCATTCTTTCTTCTACTTTGTTCAAAAGGGTGTCGATCAAAAAAAAAAAAAAAAAGAAAGAAAGATCTAGTCACCCACCATATCGCCCATGCTCATACCATACCCCCAGCCCCTCCCCAAAGGTATCTTTTTTACTTACCATCTAACCCATGGTCTTGTCAGACCTCAGCCCCTCCCTAACAGTGCCCTCACTTTCTTTTAGACAATAAGAAACATGACCAGCAGTTAGATAAGGCCTCCTCTAAAGAATCCAGCCCAAACTAGTCAGAACTCAGATGGCAGCTGGACCAACTGCTGCCTAATCTCCAAGCTCATTATATTCTCATTGTCCTGTATTGGCACGCTACATGACACACCTTCCAGTGCCATGATAGTTGACAATCCCTGTGATTGCAACCGTAAATGACCTTATAGGGAGAAAAAGGCAGGTTTTAGAATTCTGGGAAGTCTATGCCTTTTCCAGGAAAGGCTCTGAATATTCTTCTCCTCTATTATCCTGTTTTGTTCCCTCATTAGCCCCTTTGCTATACCTTAAACTGCCCAGCTCAAGATGAGGGAGAAGGTGATTTGCAAGCTGGGCTCCCACTTCTCCATTCCTTGGCCATTGAATAAAGTTTATGCTATGGCACTTAGTTTTAGTCTTGTAAATTGACTATGACACTAAACAGCAAAAGACTCCATTTCTGGGCATAAATGAAAATTGGTACTAATTTGGGTTCAAGTCCTGGCTCAGTTAATTGTTAGGTGACTATGGCCTTGGGAAAAACCATTCTAATTCTTATTTTCTTGACTCCAGTGAGTATATCATCTATTTAGAATTGATGATGTTTCAATAAGGTGTAATATATAAAGCACTTCACACAACACTATGTCACAATGTTACTTTAAATGATAAGGGAAGATTACAGGAAAATTATAGGGCTGGCTACCAGAGTTTGGGTATTTATGGTCCCTTGCCTGAGGCATTCACTGAAAATAAGTACTAGAGAAGGGGTCTTGGATGTGAGTTGTCTGTTAAGAGTCTAGTTTTATTGGGAGGGTCAGGAGTTGAAGGTAATATCCATTTTCTCTTTAGATGCAGTCAAGTAAATTCTCTGGGTACTTTTATTTTTGTGAGGACAGGCTAGGAAGTTGAGAGAGAATTGGAGTGCGTGGCTGTTTCTCTTGGTTCCTTTGTGGTCTTCAACACTTTCACTTCTGTGTCATTGGCATCTGGCTTTGGTGATTGCTGGCAGTTGTGATTTTTCCTATAGTAAGCGTAGTATATTCTAAGAAGGTCATCATTCAGACCCATTCATTAAGCCTTTAAGACAGAGTATACCGTTTCTTCTTGAAGGTTCACCTGTGGATGGTAGCAGCGGGGTGGTTCAAGAGAGGTCGGGCTGGAGAGAGCCAGGGAGGCATAGACAATGCCGTCATCCTAGGTAAGAACCAAAAGGAAAAAGGGTTAGACAGTGGAGGTGGAGCTATACCCATCTTAAAGCAACAATCCTGCAACTTGAGGGCCCTGCCCATACATAGTCCCTCCTCCTCCACCTTGCTTTCACCCAGCTTCCCTTTAATTTCATCAGACCTTAGTCTGAGCTGCTTACCTTGGGGTTCAGTCTGGGGTCAGTGTGTTGTCCTAGGGAGAAAAATAAAGGTGCACAGAGACCAGCCAAGAGAAACAGGAAGGGGGTTCTTGTGGTTAGTTGATCTGCCAAGTTTGGACCAGGGTCACATGGGGGTCATGGGGAGAGGAAAGACAGAGGGGACACCTCCATCGTAGCAGGCATTGGGACAGCAGGAAGGGCCACAGGTAAGGACTGGGGAACGATGGGGAGGACGACTTGCCTTTATTCTCAAGATTCTCATATTTCTCCTCAGTGTTCTGGAAGGGGTCCCTGTATGGGAGCAAGAGGAAGAGAAATATGTAAGAGGCTGGGCAGGAAAGAGTTAAGACAAGTGTGGGGGTTGGCTCTGGCTGAGGGGGACTCTACAAGCTCTGCTGGCAAACTCCTGGTGGGAAGGATGGGTTTGACTTTCCAGAAGGAGCGGCCTGGGAGCAGAACTAGAAGCAGTTTCAGCTGTGGCCCAGCAGAGGGCCCCCTAAGCTAACCAAAGGTGGATTGTAGAGAGAAGAGATGGGAAGGTGGCCCCTGTTCGTGCTCTCTGCTGGCACTGCCCTGGCTAAAGCGGGGAGTGTGGGAAGAAACGAAGAAGTGGATTTTAGGTTTTCTGGACAGGTGCTAAGGCTTGGTCCTTGGAGGAGAAAGGGCGAGGAGGGGTGGGAGGAAGGGCAGCTGATGAAAGATGGGGCAGGGAGAGAGAGGAGGGAGGCAGGCCTGAGCAAAATTATGGAAATGGCAAAAAATGTCAGGAGAGGAGGGAGGGTGAAGAGGAAGAGCCTTGGGAGAGCGAGAGGCAGGGCCAGTGGAGAAGAGGGAGGCAGAGGCTGAGAAGTCCCTCTGAGAGACTGGTGCTGGGGCAGCTGGAGGCAGAGGCAGCCTTTGGCCCCTGGCGCATCACCAGGAGACTAGGACAGATTGGACAGAGAGCAAGAAAGAAGAGAAAATATGATGAGCTGGACGTGTCTGGGAAGGAGCTGTTCAAGGCCGAGGGAAGCCAGGATGAACAGAAGAAAAAGGTTGGATGCTGGGATGAAAGGAGGAAGGTGAAGGTACAGGGAAGGATGCAGGGGAGACACTGGGGAAGAGTCTCTGAAGGGCTGCTCTGAAGCCCTGTTCTCCTTTTAGGCGATGGCGCCGAGGAGCTCAAGACGGGTCTCTTTAGAGGTCAGAGAAGAGGATGCACAGATCTTAAGTCGGGATGGAGAGCAGCTGTGAAAGACACCTGCTTCCTTGTGACACTTTGTGTTTCCAACCATGCCCCCCAGGTCCCCACTCCAGTTCCCCTTTGGAGGAAGAGCACTCACCCGGCTGAGGTTTTGGCTTTAGGCTGCAGACCTGTGGGGGGACAGCTGCGTGTCAGTGTGACATCCATGTCTCCTTCCCTCCTTCACTGCTGTGTCCTGCCCTGAGCCCATCCTTAGAGGGACCAGAGTAGCAGGGCAGCTCTGCCCAAAGCAGTCAGCGAAGTCCTGGGACTCAGCCAGGCACTCAGTGGGCGCTGCAGGCTGGCCGGCACCTGTCCTCCCTATTGTCCTCAACAGCATGTCCTAAGACAAGCTCTTCTTGGTCCCACAGTCCATCATCCCTACCTCCCCTCCCTTGGCTTCCCTTCCCCATCTCTGACCTCCAGACTCTCCAACCTTGCTCCTCCCTGTACTGAAGTCCCAACTGCCACCTCTCTCCTTCTCCTCCTCTTCAGTACACACACCAGTCTCTCCTCGACCTACAAATTCAGCTTCTCGGGTTGTTGTTTTGAATGGTGGCAATCTTTTCTACACCTTGAGAGCCTCGTTGTGGGATGAGTGTTTGTAGGGGTTGAGACATCTCTTGCCACCACTGGACCATTTTCCTTCCCCTCTCAGCTGGTCCTCTTATACGGTAACCACCATCCCGTCTACCCTCTGTCCTGTCCCCTGTACATCCACCTCGAAGTCTCTCTGCAGCATTTCCCAAGGATCTGGCTCCTGGTTCACAGTATCCTCTAGCATCCACCGTCCTCCTGGGTGATTCCTCATCCAAAGGACAATTGCCTGAACAGGACTCCACTCCCTTCTGCAATTCCAATGACCTCCAATCTACTCCATTCTGCCATACCGTAGACTCTCTTCTTTTTCTTTCTTTCATTTTTTTTTTTTTTTTTTTTTAATTTTTTTCCCCACCCGGGGA